CACAAGCCTTTAATATGATGCCAACGCTTGTTTCCCTGTCCTCTCATTGAGTTTCACAGCCTTACACTGCAGTGCAACCAGACAACTTCACAAAGTAGGGAAACAAGGGAGAAGAGTCACTGCCCTTCAGTCTGTATTTCCTGGGGTAAGGGGATACTAAAAGCCCTTCCATTATACTTTATCTCAGCTCCTGCTGCAATGGAGCAGGTTAAAGCACGCATTGTGCTTTCAGGGGGAGTGCTTTGAGCTTCTTCCCAGAGCCTTGACCCTGGCACACAGATCTAGGGAGCTTTAAAGAAGTGCAAACACAGGACTGCAGAGTCAGTTCTGTATCAACAGCAGGAAACAGAGAGTTCCTGCTAAAGCCCCTTCTTGGCTGCAGGCCATATCACTGGCCAATCCATATGGGAATGTCCGGTTACATGATTTGCTTATGGATGGGTCAGCTCAAATCCTACATGGCAAAATTTCATCCTCCTTCCCTCCTTTTCCTCTCTCTTGCCTGTCAGGGATGCTACTTCATCAATAGGATTAATTATTGCAAGTAAATAACCTCCATGCTTTGGAAATCTCTGGGTTAGCCACATGAAAAGCAGAGAGAGGTGACCTGAGATATTAGTAACCATCTGGGACAAGTTCCTCTAGAGCAATTTCAGTTGGGTGATGTGGCTTTTTGGAATGGGCTGCAGATACTCCTGCACCTCAGTAAACCCCAATTAAGCCATCTTCTCAGCAGGGTAGTTTAGTCCACATCCATTTCCACATTTCCACAGGTTATGCAGCTGCCCATAGCACTGAGACCATCCTGGCCATTCTAACCACATGCACAGTGCCACAGAGATGGTTTCAGCAGCAGTCTTGGTTTTGAGCACCATTGCCAGTAGTAAGGAGCCCAGTCTGTGTTTGACAGGTTGAACATGGCACTCAACAGTAGTCATTCATTTTTAAAGGTTTTTTTGCATCTTTCACTAGGAATACACTATGTACTCCCTCAGCTGATCTTTGCCTCTGAGGAAAAATAAGAAGGAGTAAGGGGGCATCATAAACCATAAAGACTTTTCTTCTGTCATTTAAAGCTTGCATGATGCAAAAAATAAAAGTTTAATACAGAGTGCCACAGTCTGTGTGGTAAGAGGGAGGTTACCTGCCCCTTGGCAGTGACTGGGTGCATCCTGCCCCTTGGCAGTGACTGGGTGCATATCCCTGATCCATTGGGAAACACTGCAGTTATCTCCCACCAGTGTCAGGACGTCAGATTTAGGTTTGGCACTCATGTTCTCCCTTTGGGGCTCTATGGCTCAGGATATAGAATGCCATTTTTTAAAATAACACTTCAGTTATTTTAAAAATAAAAGTATATTACTCACATAACTAAATAAACAAACAAACAAATCCCTTCAACCAAACAGCCTTCACAGAACCAAAAATCATCTTATCTCAACACTGAACATCATAAAATTAACCTAAGCAAGACTAAGTTTTTAACTAAGGTGTCTGTCAGGTACTTGGTTCCCTCATATCATCTCTTGAACAAATGCCCCCTCTGTCTAAGGCAATAAATAGTTTAGAAATTCAACAGATTACTTTTTTCTTTTTCCCCTTCCTGACTCATGAGCCTGTCATTGCCTTTTAACAAGTCTTAAGAGTTGGTGGAGATAGATTTTGTTCCTTTTTAGTCAACAAGCCATTCATTAAGCATCTCAGTAACTGTAAAATACATGATAGGTATAAATTAGTACAAAGTAACTCCACACCATGATATCTGAAAATGTCCAGAATCTTGACTTAAAGCCATCACACAATACTAGTCAATGTCCTCACTGTTTTCATTTAGTAGGACTGAGATAGTAACAATGTAAATACAAATAACTTGAAACAATTTGCAGACAAAGGAATCTCACTTGAAATTAGCTGTACTATTTTTGTGGAAACAGAAATAATCTGTGCAGTTACATGAGTCTTACCAATTAGATGTCCACTTAAGATTCTTGTTTGTGGCAGTAAAAGTCCAAACATCATCCAAGTGCACCCACTGCATGTTCCCTCCTCAAGGGCAAAACATGACTTGCATTGAATGCAACACAGCTGAGCTCCATTTGTGTATCCAGTTCTCAAGAAGAAGATATGAGTCCTCATGCTCATATGGAATTTAAGCCACTCTCTTTCAACCTCTTGGATTTGTTCATCTCATGAATTTTTAAGTCATAGTGAAAGTTATAATTTCTGTGACCTGAAGCAATTTCACATATTGAATTTAGGATATAGTATATGTGAGTCTGCCTGACTTTGACAATTTTTTTAGAATTTAGAAGTCCTCCCCATTGAATTTTTGAGGCTGAAAAATGGGGATTTATCAAATTCTTTATCCACATGTTGGTTCAACACTGCCTTTCTTTCCAGTTCCCTCCAGTTCCACTCAGTTTATACTTCTGAACTTAATTAAGAATGCTCCAAATTATTCAGTAGTTTTGGTTTTTTATTGTTCTTTGCTTAGCTAATCTAACTGAAAGAGATATTATTTAGAGTCAAGAAGACAGTATTGAAAAATTGAAGCATTGCACAAAAATGCATCAAAATGAAATTTTTCAGCTCTGAAGCAGCCTCTGTAGTTCTTCTGTTTTGTTTCAGAAAACATTCTCAAAGCTTTACAAGACTTTTCAAAGATCTCCTACAAGGCATGAAACATTAATCTTCAATATTAAAGCTGCTACAACTGAACTTCTAGTCTTCTAACAACTTTTGAGTGTTTCTGTTTTGGAAGAAAGAATAATCTTGTGGTAAAGGCACTGGAAGCAGAAGAAAAAGCTTCCGAGTCAGTTACCAGTGTCATCATCAACTTTTTGTATGATCTTTGACAACCCAGACTGACTTCTCTCTGTTTCTTAGAATAAATATTAAAAATGGGAATAGCAACATTTCTGAGTGATGTTGTAGGAGAATGCATAATGAGTACAAGATGTCTGTACAGGAGCCATGAACTGAAAACACCCCACATATTTACCAAGGACTATCTAAGCCCCAGTAGGTATAACATAGTAAAGGCTTCAATAAGAAATTTGTGTGACAGACTATTTGAAATAGTTTCACCTAGGACAGAGCTCATGTGGACTACTCTGCTGGAGGCAACAGTGGAAAAGAAGGAAAACTTGATCCTGTAAATAATGGGTTTGGGAGAGAAAAAAAGAGATGTGTAACATACATCCAGAAACCAGCAGGAGTCATCTAAAGCATATTGGAGATGGCCTTTCTGTTGCTGGCAGTGAAGAACAGGGCATGCTTCAAGCCATGCAAACCTTCCTCCTGGGGTCCTTGTGTAGAGGACATTGCTGAATTGTGCAAAATGACACCTTTACTGCCTTGGGACTGCAATTCAAGAGCCAGGGACAGCACTGCTAAACCTGCCTGTGCTGCCACCCTGCCACAAGGACAGGGCATCTCTGCCCACACCACAGCTGCTCTCTGGCTTAACTTCAGCTGTCTGCAAGTCAGGATTCTATCCAGAGGACACAACCAGCTCAGGAAGACTGAATGAAGCACCCTTTGGAGATTCCAAACTGAACAGTTGTGTGATACAGTCCAAAGCCTCACTGATATTCTTACTCATAGTTTGTTTGTGTCTTTATTCAAAATATATTATCTGCAAAAGGACATCACTGTGAAGAGTATGGAGCTGTCCCAAGTTTCCCACAGGAAAGTCAGATGTCCTTCTAGGTTTCATCACTAGATTTTCATAAATTTTTCAAAACTCCCCTTCAAAAATGTGATGGAATTTCAATTGGTCTGTAAGTTTTCTATTCAAACTTGAAATTATTTTTATAGATAATATATTCCAATTTTGTTACATGAATAGTCTAACCATAAGATGGGAAATACATGAATATTTCCTCTGTTTCCTGGTTTTATTTTAAATATGTACACTCAGAACATATCAAAATAAAAATAATGTATGCATACTGTCTAGATACATTTCCATTTACGTATATAACCAGATGCTGTACATAGTTTTACCTGCCCCAGTAGCCAGATACACACACATGAACTACCACTTACTCTGTTTTGAAGAATGCTCAGCATGATGGGAAAGTCATCCTGATCAGTATTCCTAGACACTAACACAGTAATAGGATGTTGGTGGCTGGAGATGGGAGGAGTAAAGAACAGCACTGCTTATTTGCTACAGTTAAGTGAGCTCTTCTAATCTGACTTCTTTCAGAAAACAAACAAACAAAGAAAAAGAACTGTATCGCATTCACATTTCAATAAACCACAAATATTAAGATTAAATATAACCTTAAGAATAATAACTTTCGCTTAATGGTCAAACTGTCAAAGTCTTCCTAAATAAAGGAAGCAGTTTTAAAGTCTCTGCAAACACTAGGTTTAAATTATTTTCAAAACCTATAAAGAGACAACAGAAAACATAAACAGCTTGAATTGTTTAAAACTTGTGTTCCCTCTAATTAAATAAGAAACATCTGTCTTGGGATTTTGGAAGTGGATATAATCTATCCACATTGTGCGTAAATCGGTCTAGCTTCAGTATTCTGAAACAAAATTCGTACTTTCTGAATAGAATTAAATAAGCATGCCACATGAGGCACTTCATCCATCTGAACAGCCAGAAATCCCCTCGTTGAAAATAACAGCAAACACTAGAAATCCTGTTATTTCTGTGGTTCAGAGAAGTGTTAGACAACGCTTTTGGGGCTTTGCCTTCAGAATATGCAAAAGTATTTTCAAAAGCAGGAATCTGCCACAAATATCTTTCAGCAGAGAAGGAGAAGAAGGAAAAAAAGGCAGTTATTAAGATGGACTGGAGGTCACAATCCTGTTATTTCTCTGGGGACCATTAAACCCTTTCCTGCAGGAGCACATGCATTCAGGCTCCCAGGAGCGGGGTTTCTATCCGAGGGCAGACACTCGGATCAAAGCCCAAGTACAGGGATGGCGGAGGAGCCGAGGGTCCCGGGCAGAGCACCGCGGGACAGCCGCGCACTCACTGGTGTTGTCGAAGGGGATCTGCCGGCACCGGGCGCCGGGCCAGGCGCAGTAGTACACCGCTCCTCCTTCCACGATGTCCGGCTGCGAGGTGTTGGCTTTGGGGGCTCCCACCAGGACACTGACCCTGCGAAACACACCGGGAGGTCACCGGGGGCCATCGATCGGGACAGGCGGGCGATGGGCGCTGTCACCCCCGGGCGCGACGCCGCCGCTCGCCCGCCGCCTTCCCTCAGCGATCCCGGGCGAGGGGCGGCCCGCCGCCCCGGCGCGGCACTCACGTGCTGGGGTCGGGGATGTAGAAGTCCACCGAGTAGCCGAAGTAGCTGCCCGGGGGCCCGCTGTACACCGTCAGCTTCTCTTCGTCCAGGTTGAAAGCCACCAGCGCCGGCGCCCAGAGCAGCGCTGAGAGGAGCAACAGCGGGCGCTGCCAGCGGCGGGGCCGCCCGCGGCTGAGGGGCAGCATCCTCGCCGCCTCCGCGGCCGGCTCCCGCTGGCACAGCGGAGCGCAGTGGTGCGTCGGCCGTGCGGTGCTGTGGGGTGCGGAGAGATGCGGAGCGGAGCGGAGAGGTGCGGTCCGGCTGCCGCCGTGCGCGGGCGGGGGGCGGCGCGGGAGGCTCGGCCCCGCTCGCCCCCCGGGGGACGCGCGCTCTGGCGCCCCCTGGCGGCGCGCGGCCGGCGGCGGGGCAGCGCTGCCCTCACCGCGGTGCCCGGCAGGGCTGCGGAAAGCGAGCGCCGGGAATTCCGCCGGGAATCTGCGGCAAACGCCGGCTAAGCCGGACACCCCGTGACTGCCCAGCGGCTGCGGGGCGGTCGTGTTCACGGGGGGAGATGCCAGAGTGTGGGCTGGTGGTTTCGAGTTGAATTTCTCTCGGCTTCCATAATTTTCAAGGGTTTGAACTGAAGAGCCTGATACTTGGAAATCTCTTTTAGGAAACTGAAGTGCATTGAAAAAATGTAAACCTCCCTCAGATTGTTATTTGGTTGCTCGGCATGGCCGTTCTTAAATAGAAACCAAAAAACCCCAGCAACGAGAAAAACTTCTAACCACGGGAAAGATGTAGAGCCGGGCACAGGGTTCAGGCTTCAGGGCTCGAAGCTGCGATTCCGCTGTTGCTCTCCAGGTTTCCCTGTGAGTGCCTGGCTACGCGGAGCCCTCATGAGCTGAGCGGGTCACCTCGCCCTGGCTCCGAGCAGAGCCTTCAGCACAGCTCCGTGCAGGCGCAGGTGTCGCGCCGCTTTGCCCACAGAAATAACCCACTGAACGTGGCACAGAACGGAACGGTGCTTTTAGAAAGCTCCTCTGGTAATTTCTTCGCAAAAGTAATTTAAAAGGATGGGGCTGTATAACTCCTGTCTTGAGCTGTTCTGCCCCTGCAAGCTCCACACCACAGTTTCACCTGGTTTTGTTAAGAAAGTATAGAAGGACTGACTACCTGAAATGCTCCCTTCCCCTACAAAGCTGTGTGGCATCACATTCACATCTTCAGGGGACAGCATTATTAATATTTTTTCTGGGCAACACATAGGTAGGAAGAAAAGGAGAAACATTCTATTTTCCACGTAATCACCTCAGTAACAACAAGGAAAGAGAATTGTTTTTCAGCATTTATAATGCAGATGTGTCCAAAGAGAGTCAGAGAAAGATCAAAGTAATAGAGAACCCATTTATAAACATGTTACATTATATCTACCTATGAAAGCAGTTGAGAGCAGTTTGTTTTGTTGTGAGGTTCTGGTTACTTTACTTTTGTGTTTGTTTTATTTTAAGTGCTTTATGGCAAGATTATTCAGATAAGACTGACATTCCTTTTCACAAAAATAGAACTGTGTGTTTATTTCCAGCATTAACTGTGTGACCCTTAGCTGTCCCACAGGCCTGCAATATCCCTTAATTCTGCCTGCCTTGTATTTATGCCAAATTTATTTGCTAAATAGTGAAACATCACCATTGACACTATTGTATTATTTTACATTGAACAAGTTTCTCTTACAGATCTAAACACCAGTAATAAATTCAGAGGTGAGGTACTACTGAATGACTTTAGGATTAACATCTACTCTTAAAAGTCATGCAGTTTTAGGGCAATTGAATGCATTTAGAACTTGTGTTGCCTTAAGCTAAATAATAATGATGATGAGGATGATGATAATGCTCCTTTTTAGCATAGCAATCAGTTCCAAGGCTGAGTGTCACAAATGTAGTTTCTGGGGCTCAGAGAACTGCTCAGACTGCAGCTCAGAGCAGTGGCACTCAGAAGTGAGAAGGCAGCACATTCTGGAGCTGTAGCCACTTTTACTGATCCATTCAAAACAGTTAAAATTCAGTAATTAGCACAGTTGGAGATAGATGAGTGTTCACACAAATGAAGCTGAAAAGGCATAAGGCACAGGCAGTTCTCATGTACCTGCCTTTCAGTTACAAACACATGCCACCTAACCTGGTTGTTTAGAGCTAAATTTTAAAAAGCAAAATGTGCTTCAAATGGCTATCAGTGCTAAAACCTGTAGGAAGGCAGGGCAGCATGAAAAGAAGGAACTCTTTCAAGATCCTTATACCCCCAAAGTGTTAACCTACAGCAGTCCCCCCCTTACTCTTTTTCTTTTTTTTTTTTCTCTCTCTATAAAGTAGAGACATATGCATGCAGGATATTCCAAATCAATTCAAAGAGATAAACAATTTATGTTTCTAAGAATTTGCAGTGTTTCTCTAAACAAGCTGGACCTGTTCTGATCACTAGAAGCTTACGTCACATCTTGCTTTCCTTGGACTTCAGAAATGTTTGGAGTTTGCACACTGATCTGCCCTGCATAAGAGGTAAGCAGCTCCCCCAGTTGTTGGTAGACTGAAGCTTGCACTTCAGCATACCTGTGGTCTGATACATTAATTCCTTTGAATACCTAACTAAAAAGTCTTAATAGGCTCTAGAACCACACCTGGAGCCAGAACAGAGGGCTTTCATAAGAACATCTAGCCAAGAGTCTAAAAATCATTTTCTACCTTACAGAATAAATGGAAGGTCAGATGTGAGATTAAGCAATTTATGAAAAAAATATAATATTCATGGTGTGAATTTCTACAGCTAATATTATGTGCAGTTAGTGATGTTAGTATGTCATTATGGTGTTTCCAGTCTTAAAAATAGATGACTAATCTTCTATGGAAAGATTTGCTGAGGCAAAACTTAAATATTAATATTTTGTAGGAGGGTCCATTATCACAGCTTTAATGTTATTTATGCTATTATTTAGTAATGAACATGCTAGCAGAGGAACAAGTATTTCAAAGAATCGTATGGGCTTTGAGCATAAATCTTATCAAAATTAGTGACAATTTTACTGTTAAATCTTTTCAAAATCTGGTGGTACAGAAGCTGAATGTCCAATTCCCACAGAAAACCTACCTTTCAATTGTTTCCTAGTTTTGTTTCTGTAGGCCAGAAGCCTTCTCCTGAACTGTAGCTGGAGCAACTACATGGACAGTATTTTTGTGTTGCAAGAGGATAAAATGAGGATGTGACCATGCATTACAAAGAGAGTGAGTTTGAATCCAGGATGACATGCTGACAAAAGATGTTCAGCATTCCTCTTTGAACCTTACCTTTGGGAACATTGTCCAAGTTAAAAATCTTAGCAAAAGTAATTCCTACATGAAAAGTGTTAAAGCTAATTTTATATTGAGTAGATTAAATCAATCTATCAATCACATATAGTCTACAGAAAAATCAGTTTATTTTCAAGAGATCCTGTGGAAATACTGATTTTTCATTAGTTATATGTATTAACCACACAAAATCAATGTAAAAGGGAGTCTAATGGGCCAATTTCCCATGCTGGTGAAAGCAGAGATTTTGTGTGAGATCCCAAAGGACAGGATGCTGCAGAGGAAGCTGGGGATGCAGTGTTCCCTCCCATTGCACCTCTGGCTGTCTCCAGCAGCAGAGCTGCTGCACAGGGAAGCTGCAGGTGCTCTCCAGAACATGCCGGGTGTTTTGTGCTGAGCAGCCTTGCTTGCAAAGCAGGAGAACCCAGAGTAGCTGTCCACAGCAAATGAGTGTGCTGCACCAAGGGAGGTTCTTGTTTCTGCCTGGGAACTGATGTGAGACACAGCCATTCCTCTCGCCCAATGGATTTTGACTCCCACACTTTCCTGCTCCATCAAGACCCATCTTGGGCTTCTTTAACCTAAACTCATCCACACAAGAACTGAAGAGATAAGAGAAAGCATATACATAAACCAGATAAGCATAAATTGTAACTGTCTGAAGGAACAGAACTTAACAAAAGCATCCAAAAACCCAAAATGCCCAGCCTGTACTTAAGTGATTCACTGTCTCAAAGGGCCCTTTGCCTATTGAAACAGTATCCTATTCTAACAAGGATATTTACATTTGGGTTTGTACTGGCTGCTTACCTTTAAACAGTTCAGACTTCAACAAAACAAATATGGATTTGGTAGATGTCACCCTTCAAATATAACTCATGAAGCACCCAAAGTAGTCTTTCCATTATTTACTTAGATAACTTACTTGGAGCTGCCTGACTGTGAACCCCAGTATACACAATGAAGTGGGAATAATTTCTTTTACCATTTACCCAGCAGCAGACCCCTTTCTCTCCCCCATCTCTTTTTTATGGAAGTTAATTTAGAGCAAAAAGACACCAACGTGTATCTTCTGTCTCAAAGGGTTTTGAGACATGGGAAAGGAAAGGCCAGTTTTCCAGACCAACAGTCCAACATCCTGCTAACTGCACCATGTTTCCAGCTAGGATAGTAGTTGTCTCCCAGAAGATATTGACCTTTCCTTTGCAATTAAAATTGAATGACTCTGCAATACATAAAACCCCCCAGAGTATTAATCAAAATGTCATTTACTTGCATATTTAGCTCACACACTTTCTTACAGTTAGCATTATCAATTTGCTCTGGTTACTTACAGCATGCATTTAATCCCATAGAGTGCTCTGATTTCATAGACTAGGTCTCAATTTGCAAACTGTAATATATATATACACACACACATAGGCAGCACTTAGAGCAGAACAACCTTTATATGGGTTTCTAGATATTTTTCTGAGAAAGCAAATCAAATGTAGCAAACATTAATGTCCTGCATTTTAAGTCTGCCATCTAAACAACCACTTTGTTTTAGGGGACAAAAAGCAAATTTCCATGAAGGCAGAATCTCTCCCATTGTGCTCATGGCAGAAGGAAGGCCAGAGAGGTTCACTTGGCTGAGGCTCTCAGATGAGCTGCCTGAATGCCATAAAGCACTGCTACTTCGCCTCTGTATCCAAAAATAAGTGAAATAAACCAGAATCCAGGCCTTTAATAACTAGGCAGTATGAAGAAAAAAGGATACAGGAATGAGGGTTCTTTTATCACACCATCATCAGCTAAATGTCTCCAGAGTACAGCAGAAGTTTCTAATCCAGACTAATGCTTAAAGACAGATCTCTCATCAGCTGTGCTTCTAATTTTTTTTTTTTCTGTGAGATAGAACATCAATTTTATGAGAGTGGGCTAGAAAAAAAGA